GTACTACGTCCAGTTTGACTGGGGTCAGAAGCGTCTTGGCTTCGCCAAAGCCGCCCAAGAAGCTTCGATTCTGGTTGTTTGAGCCAGCAGCCGCGCAGCAGACTTGTTGTGCTTTACTTGCTTTAAGTGTCAGTGAACTTGGGAAGGCACGGTCAGCACAGAATTGGTTTCGATACCCTATAGTGAGTGGATGGAAGTGTAGATTAAAAGGATATCATGGGCTGTTTATTTCGCTTGCCTTCTAATACCTCGACCTGGTGCCTGAATGATTTCAACCTGCCACGTACAGTCTCTGTGAGAGCTCACACTTCCAAGGCATTCCCCTCACTCGATCCAACAAAACCGCATTCACAGAAAGTAACAGAATAAGCAACCATTGCCTCTATCTGACTTATAAGACCATTCATGATGACAAGAGGCTCCTTAGCTGTATTGTTCAAAGTCGCCAGAACTGGCCACAGCTCACCCGATATGTCACCCCATATGTCATGTCGCATTCTCCAGCAACAATGGGGCTCACGCCTCCAGAGACGATGGGCTTTTGGCCCCGTGGCTGGAACCTGACAGTTCGCGCAGCTGGTGGAAGAAAATATCAGAGAGGGCAGAGGGCCGTACTTTTTGGGAGGAGAGTCGAAAGCGGAGAGTTTGAAAAGATCCGGTTTTGAGAAGATCTCGAGTGATCAATTTTTGAGATCTATCGAAATATCTCTCTTTGCGTCCAGATGCAGTGTCATTGCTTTTTGTTGGCATTTTAGCTTTAGATGTCAACCAGCATGGAGTCATGCGCAGATTCTGACTTTGCCAAGGTACCTATAAGACATATTCTTTGCCGGAAGTCTTGGATTGGCATATCACCTTGGTTCAGCTGAAGGCCCGATTTATGCTTTTGAGCTGCTTTCTTGTGATCGCGGTGTGGACAAGGTGGATATCAATGGATTTGTGGTGCCTAATTGCAACGGGTCTCCCGAGTCTAAGAGGCAGCCATCTTGAGAGCATAATGCCCATCGGAGTGTCAAAACACAATTATATATATATACAGTGATCCCAATGTGGCACACTATCCCAATGACATTATATGTAAATATGTAATGACATGCCCATTTGGTGGTCCCAATGCGTATTGCAGAATCACTTTTGCCACCATTGGCACCTTGATTTGCCCGTGCTAGGCCACTGCGCTGGCACGCTTGTGTCAACCGGTGCTTTGGCCAAAAGAAGTCTTTGCTTGAAAATATCCTTTGAGAGTTAGTATTGGAATGTAGGGAACCCCCTGCCTGACCCAATGTGTCGAACTTGTGTTGATGTTTCCTTGCACCAGATTCTAGTCTAATCCACGCCTTTTTGGTCCTTTTCTCTCCCCACCCTCAGGATGAAGAGACGGAAGAATTTCAGGACGTTCTGCTAACAGAGGATGAGTTAGCGCGGGCCTACCAGGTGCGATGGCAGAAGATGACATGAGCCGCGTAAAAAATACAACATAATAACATATAATTACCAGATAAGTAGTTTGGGTCGCTTCGCGATGACAACCGCCCACGCCAGTGGCTCTCAGAGAGAGGGACAAAGAAGTCTCTATAATCACTCTATTGTTGGACCCTCTGACATTGCTTAGCAATGTCCCACTTGCAATTTGCAGGTCACCTGGAAATTGTACTTTTTCAAGGGGGTCGAAAAACAGAGTGATTGTGCACAATAAGCTATACAATGTGCATGATCGAGAATACTAAGAGATGAACGCAGCATGAAGCGGATGAATGAGAAATAAAAGGCGTATATAGAATCACTCTATTTTGCGACCCTTGACCCTTTACAATTTGTTCCGTTCCGTCTTATTTGCAACCTGCAGTCATCGTTGGCTATTTTTTCGACCCCTTGAAATTATTGTGCCCTTTCCAGGGGGTCCAAATTATATCCAACAATGCCTGCAAATGAATATTGCTTGGACACAGTGAAGAATGCACAATCTCAACAGGACACAATCAAACAACTATACATGTGCACGATCGACAATACTAAGAGATGAACGCAGCGTGCAGTGGATGAGCAAAATGAGAAGGGACGTTTCTATTTGGACCTTCTTACAAACTGTATCAAGTTGTTTTGTTATGTCCTTCTTCCAAGTTGCAAGCAAGCATTGTTGGATATTTTTCGGCCTCCTTGAAAATGTCAATTACATGCTTCAGGGTGCCCAAACTATTAATTTGGTGACTTTAGTAACTATACAATTGCCGCCACCTGATGCATGTGATATGATTTTGATTTAAAGTATTGCAACTGCAACCGGTTGATGCATATGATGCAACCATGAAACATATATAATGACGATATGTGAAAACCAGGTGTTTTTTCTTCCACCCCCACTCCTCTCCCAGACACACCTCATGACGCAGGATACGCATTTACGTCCCCAAACGAAAGTGCACCCCCTAGCTAAATCTATATAGCGATGTTGCTCTACTGACAGCGTCTCGCCTCTCAGCACCTTCGGTGCGGGCGGAAGACTAAATTAATGAAAACACCGGATTAACCCCCCTTCAAGGTCAACAAGGGTTGGGATTGGAGACCACATCCCCTTAATAAAGATGATGATAATGATGACGTGATGATGGATGATGAGATGAGGACCTGATCATGGGTGATGGTTGATGGGATGGTGTGTCATGAGAGTTTGAACCATGAGAACCATGATTGGGAAAGATGAAAGGGATTGGAAGACAAGATGCGTTCTTTGATTGGGATGATTAAGAAAAGACAAAAAGAATGCAGTATGAAAAACATGGAAGACACGATGGAGGCCAAAGGCTGGGCTTGATTAATAGGGGGAGGGGCCCTACTATTGGAGGGGGGTAAGGCCTGTGTGAGGGGTACCCTTCGTGAGCTTGAAAACCCTAAGATTTTGATAGAGTTTTAATAAGGGAAAATGAAAGAATTATGCTAGTGAGTTGTTTGTGTTTCAACAGGGAAGTATGAGAACAAAAAACAGGATGAGAAGCAGAAGGAGGATGAACATGATGGATGAGTGGACAAGAAGATATTGGATACTGACCTAAAAGAAAGTAACTAAGAAGTAATTAGATATATATAACTGATATAACTATACTGTAATTGTAAACAGCTTTGGACTTATTTTTCTGGGTGAGCTGGGCTTGATTAATAGGGGGGGTTCTGGCAAGGAACAAAAACTATAAGGGGAGGTTGCAGGATTTTATTTAGTTTAGTATTGGAGGCTCCAGCTGGGCTTGATTAATACGGGGGGTTAATCCTGTGTGCGCATTAGTCTTCCCAGCCCTTGACAGGGGTCAGAACGAATCCCATGTTGGAGAAGGTCCTGTGATTTGTGACGTGCCTGGGAACAGAGCATCCAACTAGACCCAAACGATTCGTCCTTCGTAGGCGAGGAACCCAGCTGCATAACAAACCGACTGCTGATGGACAGCCACAAACTATATGGGGATGGGTCAATACCTGGAGCCCCAACATCATGCCGCTTGCCTTTGAAGTGGCTTTGACCCACGGCCACATTTTACAACCTTGTGCAAAACCCTAGTATCCTCTCGGAGGAACATATTGACCACTAGTCATTCCCAACCTCCCCCAAAAACGTTTTTTTTTTGCTGCCTTAATTTGCTCTCCAAGGCAGGGAGAATGCCAGAGGTATTCATTTATTGAACAAAATCCACCAGAGAGAGAGGGGCAAAGTATGGCAAAGTGTTTCGATCTATGCTGCGGACAGCCGGGTGAGGAGAGCTGATAACATGTTTCACGGTACGAGGCGAGCCCCACAATGCGACTTTCCTTTTCTTCTGTGCTGAGCTATGGCACCAAGCGAGTGGTGTGGAGCCGAGGAAATGGTGTTTGAGCGAGAGGGCCGTTCAATTGAAACAGTTTGCCCTTGACTACGCATCATTGCAGGAAACACGGTCCCTCCCAAATTTACAAAGATACCATCTCACTAGTACAAATGCCATCATTAGCCACAAACATCGTCAGTATTGAACAGCAAAACGGCATATCAATTGTTTGACCTTTATCTATTTGACCAGGTCCGTCGCCCCGTGGTTCTATGTTGGTGAATTACGCTCTGATTTTGAGATTCCAATCATTAATATTTGCGGTTTCTTCCTTTGTGACCTCCATAAGTGACGTCCAGAATAAGCGACCACCAGTGACTGAACCAACCAGGGAAGGTGTGCTCGCCGTGCTCCCTTGACTCAGGTCCTTCCCAGCACCCTCAACCTCGGTCTCGCCACAAAGATGCAGGTTTGGCTGGCAGATTTGATTTGGACACTGAACACAGTGACCACCCCAAAGACCCTCCCTCCAACATTCATGGTTTGGCACAAGAATGAAAAACAACATTGAGTGCGTGGAGGAAACCAGTCTTCCCAAGCCCCAGAATACCACTCCTGATGTGGTCGTGGGAGTGCCCCTCTTGGGCGGCATAGCATAGGTGAGCTTTACGGTGTTGTTTTGTGGTTCTACTAGATACTGGTTTCCATGGTTTGGGAATGCATCCATTGGGTTCATTTGGAGGGGCCAAATCCATATTAAGCTGTTTGGGTGTGTTGCAGGGTTACGGGATTCCACAATGCAAAGCCACATGAAGTCATCGCCGCAAGTGGGACCGTCCCTTTTGCCCTTCTCCCTGTCACGAGTGGCTTGGCTTAGCATGAGGCATCACAGGCAGGTCCGACAGCTCGGTAAAACTTGTGCCCTCTGAGTGGATGGCATGTGTGTCGAAGGGAAGACTTCTGTCCTTTTACAGGGGGTGAGCTCCGCTTCCATGTAATGTGTTTGTTGGAGTGAAAGAATCCGGCATTCCGTTTGATGGGCTTGTCGCAACGAGCATTGTTCCAGTTAGAGTGTCCAGTGGTGCGTGCGCAGGGTGGCTGAAACAAAGGGGCGACACACTGGTTGTGTGGGGGAAGGCGATTGAGGATTCGCAGGAGAATTCAAGCAATTGGGGTGGAGGTTCAAAATGGTTCAAAAGGTTTCGAACAGCAGAGTCGTCCAGCTGCGACTTGGGCTCCAGACGCTTCCCCCAACCCACACCGCGCTGCCACACCGCGCTGCCATGCCGAGCCGAACCCCGCGCGTGTGCTTCGGGGAGGGTGATGTGTGGGAACATGCGCCGCTTGGAGTGGCAGAGGGGTGAGTGATGTTTTTCCTTTTCGTGTTTCAGACCTGACCTTTAGACGCTTCTTGCAGTGTTGTTCATTTTGTGTGTGTTCTATGTTTTTTCCTCCCCCCCCCGCGCGCTCTCTCTCTCTCTCTCTCTTTCTCCCTCTCTCCCTCTCCCTCTCTGATGTGGTTGGAGAACACTCCATCATCAGCCCCCATTAGAGCGACCGATTTACCTGAGGCTTTGGGACGCTGCGGAGGTTTTTGAAGAGACGACCATCTCAGCGGCTGGGATGAGATGACCGTGACGACCGCTTGTGATGAAGTGGTTCAACTCAAAGGGCTCCTTACTGACCTTTCGCCAGCGCTTGTTGTTGTTGTTCTTCTTCTTCTTGTTCTTGTTTCAGGCATGGTAGCGTCAGACTTCACACCCGTTGACATCAACAATGCTCAACAGCACTTGAAAGAAATTGTGAATCAACACCGGCAAGGATCGTTTGAAACCTGTCCAGGATTGTACATAGGGGGACTGGGTTTTGATGGAGAATCTGCAGTTAACGGTGTATAGCTCTTAGGATGTGTTTTGTGATGACATGCGACCCCTGACCCCTGACGAAATTGATGCCAACACTGGGAAAAGTGGAGGACACTGGGGAGTTGGAGTGGGACACCTGACACCTGAAGTGAGTCTAGCGCCACTTTTTCAGACGCCAGACAGTGACACGAACACGAACCCCTGAACCGCCGCGAGCTCCCCCCCGGTGTTTTGGCCCGCCTGCTCTAAGGCCGCATTTCAGCAGCAGTTGGCTAAGAGCATGGGAAAGATGGACCAAGAGCCTTTGCAGCCCATGGTGCTTTTTGTCCAAGACTCTTTTGGACTACAAATCAGGCTGAGGAAGGACTTGACAATCGACTACCGCGAGGAACCTAACTTCCATATACATGGCATAGCTTAGGTTTCACCAAAAAAGCATCCGTGAGCCCATACTTACTATCGCCTCATCGTCATAGCCGCCATCGCCTTGCGACTATTGCAGCGGCACACGAAATGTTGACTTTCAAGGTGTGCGTGCTTTGGTGGTGGATGCTCCCCTTCAGCATCCTTCAGCCAAGAACACCTAACTAAGCCATCCCAGACCTTTAGATAGTATTGGTCATGGAGTCATGGCTGTATTGGTGCCCACGTTGGTGAGCGGCAAAACTCGGTGAAGTGTTACTCACGGGTCCGTGAGTGATGGTTTCAGTATGACACTGTGCGAGTAAGGGTGGTATATAAACTGAGTATCAGATTTTCTGAGGAAGAAATGAGCATCATGAGCAAACATGTCTCAATCCTTTTTCAGGGGAGTTGTTTGTCATCTCGACCAGACTCAGCAAGGCCCAGACGGGTTGACCGGTCCAACTCTGCCCGAGGAGTTGCATCGCGGCTTGGAACGCATCGCGACTTGGAAGCACGGGGATGGATGGACCTGGCTTCCCTAGACCACCACATCACCAAGTCCGAAAGTACGAAACAAAGTATATACAGTACTGTAGTCGCCAGTCAGTTGGAGGAGACTCACTCATAGGCGTGATTCCAGGTTGAAACATGTCGAACGAAATAAAGGCACCTTTTCTGATCCTTTTCTGATTAGTGGGAGTTGCTGTTTCGCTTATCAGATGAGTGGCTTGCGCTTTCAGGATCAGAAGCTTTTGGAGATTACAGCATTGCTTCAACGTTTTGAACCTCCCGGCAGCCCACCGCAAGAAGGTTGGACCAGTGTGGACATCGGGGCTGTGGGGCTGCTCGCCACTGTGGACGACTAGCCGCAAGCCAACCCTCCAAATATTGCACTTCTCTTATCTTTTGTTGGGCAGTCTCTCCCAGTAAAAGATCTAAAAGAGGGGTCTGTCTTACAGCACACCAGGGAAAACAAGAGGGAGTGACAGGTCGTGAAACTGTGGCTTTGGTCTCTGTTTCGGAGATATTGTAAGAACGTCATTCCGAACCCAATTCGGAGGGGCTGACAAGAAACCAATTGCCAATGTAAGCCCCCGAAAGTTATATATCACCTCAATATCAAGGCACAATAAGGCACACTAGAAAAACCCGACAATGGACTGCTGGAAGGCTACTTTCCAAGTAGTGATTGCAGGTTTTTCAGGATGTAGTGAACATCGATGTAGTGAACATCAATACCGCCGGACAGGATCCGGACCATTGACCGGCCGTGGCCAGGTATCAGCTCCGATGTGCATTCCATGTTGGTCGTTCCAGCACGGCATTTGGGCAAGTTCTTCTCACTCGTCAGTGAGAGCAGGGGAAAGAGGGGCAAGGCACCGAGCAGGCCCTTGAGCCACAAATCCAAGCAATTTGATTGGGATTTGCTGATAGCGATTGCTGCTGCACGGGGGAATTTGTTGGATCAGATCCCACACCAGCTGCTCATGAAGAAGAACTCTTGTTTGTGATGCTTCATGAACTTCATTGGCAGTCCATTGTGGTTCAATCTGGTTATATAAGGCCCGCTTTTTTGATGAGAAACCCTTTGATGCTTCAAGAGCCTTTTGCAAGGTGTTTCTTACTATCTATACCCAGCCGTCAGGTTCCACTCACCAACCACTCAGAGTCTCAACAGCAGATTGGATGGAGCTTATATAGTAAGTTCATGCAAGCTCACCAGATCACTCAAAAGCTCGGTGTAGATATGGTACTCGGGGGCCACCCGTTGTTCGCGGTGCGGAGGGCTCCACTCAAGGCCGCTGTTCAGCTATGAACGACTCAGGTCTCGTGCCAAGAGCGTCTCGCCGAAGAGTTGGGCCTCACCTTTTCAGGACACCGGTATTGGTCACTGTGGGCCATGAGTTTTGACCGATAGCTGAACGAAATCTCTCTATATATATATACATTTATTTACGTCGTTGACACGACCACACTGAAACAGAGGTACCTCTAGGTGTTTGATGGTTTTTGTTTTTTGCAGCCTTGGAGATCCACTGGAGATCTCACTGGTCACCAGTCTGGCCGAGTCCAGGACTCGGTGGAGTTCCTGCGCACCGCCAGCGAGCGCGACCGGAGCTGGCATCCTGCGCGAATCAGCATCTTTACCATCAGGACGGCCAGAGAGCAAGTCTTTTCTTGAGAGCAAGAGCTGCGCATAGACCAGGAGACCAGGACGCTGCCTATATTTTCCCTATTCAGCATGATCTTGCGTCTTTTGTTGGATTGGCTCTGTGCTAGGGGGATGTGAGAATCTGTTTCTAGAAGGAAAGGACTCGTTAGATTGCATTTTCCGGGTCCACTTAGATGAGGTATTGCTTCATGTTGGAAGGTCGATGCCATATCGGTATATTATACAATGTTTTACAATCATATTTGGCAAGGACCACCTCAGGTGTCACCGAAGTCACCAAACATGTGTTGACACATTTCTTTGCAGGAGAGCTGACTTCCCTGTCAAGGAGGCTCACTAAGTACTTTGCACTTTTGGTGGAATGGGAATGTAGGTCCGTCGCAACTGTTGATGCTGAAGCGCATTAGTCTTCTTCATTGAAGCAGCTACTGTAAGTTGTGTTGGTTCAACATTAAAGTGTGGCAGCCCTTAGCAGCTTAGCACTGGCACCCTGGGAGTTGCCAGAGGCACTTTGGGACTTCTTGGTTGACCCGCTCTCCAGCTATGCTGCATGGTGGTTCTGTATCCTTTATGGCCCACTGGTGATGCATCTCAATCGAAATATGTCGAAACTCCGCACTAGACAGCCAGCGACGCTGATGTTTCTGGGACAAGTTCGGCTTGGGCCCCAAGCTTCGCACCGTGCTTGCCCCCTGCGATCTCATCAACTCAGTTGAGGGCTTGCGGTTTTGAAGGTTACCGATACGCTAAACCAAATCCCTCATTCAGCCCTTGGCTCTCCAAGGCTTTCAGTCACTTGTATTCTATTGGAATCTGCGTGGCCGGACCTTGTCCAGTCACTTGGATCACTTGGTCGGGTGATGGTGGAAATGTGCAAGCTGGGCGGCGAACTGGTGGCCGTGAGTCGGATGATGGGCGGCTTGTGCATGTTTTTGCATGCAAACTTTTGCTGGGAATGACTATACAGTAATTTCTTGGCTGATCTTGACTGCTTGTTCACTAGCGTTTGTTAGTTTGATGCTATGT